AGGTCCAGCTTAGGGGTGTTCAGCAGGATCCCACAATATTTGCTCTGGAGTATAGAGCACAGTATCTGGGAACAGTGAACTTATACTGTTCTCATGGCCCTCACTGTGTTCCACTGGCCTCATCACTGACCTGGCAGGTACCAGCAGCCTCCTTAAATCAAGGATGGCCCTGTTCATTGATAATTCCTCTGGAAGAAGTTATACACAAGGATATGGAGTCTGAGAATGTGGTTAGCATTTTTTTATTCAACAAAAATTTCTTGAAGTTAATTGTGAGTCAGACATTGTGGAATATGGCAGTTAACAAGTTCCTGAATCTGGCAGGTAAACAAAAAACTAATGATTTCAGTAACATTAAGTGCTATGAAAAACAAGACAGGGTGAGGTGATTTTGCCCTCAGAATGGGGGCACCAGTTTTTGTTAGACTACAGATATTTCTCCAACCCCTAGAACCTTAAGCATTGTTTCAAGTTTCCCCAAATCTAAAATTTAATTGTTAATTATTAACACTAATCAACAGACTTAGCTAAGTGATACAGATTTCCCACACTGTTCACTATCTACCTAGAGTATAAGTGTCAATTGTTAGTTTTTGTAGACAAAAATGTAATCTTTTATCCTAGTTCTGATTTACCTGTAAAACAGTCTGTGTTTAGTGTTTTGCTTTTATATAACTTCCACTTAATGATACACAATTTTCTGACAAATTTTCTACATATATCTTTGCCACATAAATTGTAACTTACTACTTTAAATAGATTCCCTCCACTGACAGTGGAAATTGTTTTGTTGTTAACTGTTATACTCTGCTAGAGACTGAATCCAGAACCTTGCACATTCTATCAACTGAGCTGCATGCCCAGCCTAGCAGTGGAAATTTAAATCTCATCTGTTAACTCATATTCTGTTGGCTTTTCCATGGGATGCTGCAAGTTGACTCTCCAACTTGCTTCTAACATATCCTTGGAAAATTAACTCTTGCTTGCCAACAGATTAGTAAGCAACTCTCTGAAGAATATGAAAGGATTGTCAATCCTGAGAAGGCCACAGAGGACACTAAACCCGTGAAGATCAAGGAGGAACCTGTGAGTGACATCACCTTTCCTGTCAGTGAGGAACTGGAGGCTGACCTTGCTTCTGGAGACCAGTCCCTGCCCATGGGAGTCCTCGGGGCTCAGAGTGAGCGTTTCCCATCTAATCTGGAAGTGGAAGCTTCCCCACAGGCTTCAAGTAAGAGAAATCAACATACTCATTTTGATTCTAGGAGATCTGCCAATCTAAGAACTTAGTGGCATTTTGGAATCAGGTGGGAGAACAAAAATAGGAGTGAGCAGAATGGAAAGTCCTAAAACAAATATAGCTTCAGTGATCTAGAGATAGTAAAATTCTTCTAATTAGTGAGCAGAGGACTAGCACAGCTTTATAGGCATTCTATAAAATAATCTTCAGGGTGGGCACAGTGGTGCACATCCATAATCCCAAAGACTTAGGAGGTTGAGACAGGTTACAAGTTCAAGATCAGTCTTGGCAACTTAGCAAGACCCCAACTCAAAATTTAAAAAGTGTTGGAGATGTAACTATAGTAAAGTGCCCTTGGGTTCAATCCTCAACATCAAAAACAAAATTTAAAAAATCCATCCAGTTAGGGTATGGATGCAATGTGTGTTGTCCTGTTGACCAAGGTGGATTTAGCTGATCCTGCTGATTGGGTAGATATCTCTTCTTTAGTCTTCTGTGTTAGTCCTTCTTGATGCTTGTAATTATGAATCAGGAGGCTGCCAGATAGATGGATAAACTTGAGTTTCCTTGCTAGAATACTCCAAGAAATTGGAGATTGAAACAGGGCTACCCAGCTAGAGGCAGATGGCCTCTTCTTCCAGATAAATGCTATGATTACCTTAAGTACCATAACTTGAGTCAGTTAAATTGGAAATTAATCTAGGCATTCAGTTATTTACAAATACAGTCACTTTATCAATGCTCAACCCACTCAGATAACAAATCCTCAAATGTGGCCCAAATAGAATTAAGGCCATACTTTTGGTTGGAAGTGTCAGGAATAGCAGGGCACACTAGCACACAACTATAATCCCAGCAACTCAGGAGGCTGGGGCAGGAGGATTACAAATTTGAGGCCAGCTTCAGCAACCTGACTGAAAATTTAAAAAAAGGGGGGGGGGCTGCTGAGGATGTAACTCAGTAGTAGAGTGCCCTTGGGTTCAATCCCCAGTACCACAAAATAAAAACAAACACACAAGCATGAAAATATAGGGAAGAGAGCCTTTCACCGTAGAAGTAGTAATGATCACAGAACAGCATTGCTGGAATACATGGGGTGGGAGACAGGCAAAGACACAGGGAGCATGTCTCTTGTCAGCGGAAAGAGGAAGGGAACTGCTTTCAGCATCTTTCAGTGATCAATAAGTAGTCATAGTCTTAGAGAGCATCAAAGGCACCCAAACAAAAGGAAGAGGCATAAGATAGCCCCATAAAAGGAAGGAAGGACAGGGAAAGTAATGAAATGAACAAGGCCTGCCTTCGTGCCACTAAGACAAGGCAGGGGATTGTTCCACCTGTATTGTTTTACTTCCTTGGTTTGCGGAAAAATGCAAGTAGGTGAGATAAAGGTAAGGTAGAAGAATAAGGAAGATATTTTTGACATTTTGAAGCAGAGAATAACAACCACATTCTCCAGCCAAGTACACAATTAGAGTGAAAACTGAGCTCAAAGAACATTTGTGGACCCTTGGTGGGATATTCATTCTCCTTTGTTTGGTTGCTTACCACTAGGTGTGTGTTTTTTGCCTACATTTCTAGGTGCAGAGGTAAATGCCTCTCCTCTTTGGAACCTGGCTCATGTGAAAATGGAGCCCCAAGAGAGTGAAGAAGGCAATGTCTCTGGCCATGGTGTATTGGGCAGTGATGTCTTTGAGGAGCCTATGTCAGGCATGAGTGAAGCTGGAATACCTCAGAGCCCTGATGACTCAGACAGCAGCTATGGTTCCCACTCCACTGACAGCCTCATGGGGTCCTCCCCTGTTTTCAACCAGCACTGCAAGAAGAGGATGAGGAAAATATAAAAGTGAAAGAGGGACATTTCAGTCCAGTCATACAACACCCAACAGAAAACCTTGATGTAGTCTAATTTGTTTCTATAAACAGTGATTTGATTCTTAAACACAGTGGGTTTTCTTCATTTCAGAGAAACAGGATTTCACCAAAAAAAGTTGCATTTTATTTTGGTATCATGTTTTATAGTTTTCGTCAACAACAAAGCCACCATTCACACATGGATCACAATGGTAATATATATCAAGTCTGTTCCCGACTTTTGTCTTTACTATGTAACTACATGTTTCTTAGCTTCTCTGCAGTCATTTCTATTGCACAGTTGAGAAGATTCATACCACTTTGACCTACCTTGCACAGAGGAATACTGAGATGTTTATTACACTGTACTTGAATAGACTCAGGAATATATGCCAATATCAGATGTCACTTTTTCTTTTGATTCAAGTCATTGGGAATCCAGTACCAATTCCTCATAGGAAACTAAACACAGCAAAACTTATCTATCATTAATCTTTGTAAAGTGATTTTGCTGTCTATGAAGTCTTTTATAAAATCAGAGGTCTGTGGTTAATGTAACAGCGTTTTTATTTATTCAAATAGCCCAATCATGTCACCTCCTATTCTCTAGATTTATTCCATCGATTCTCATCCTTTTTGCCTTTATTTTGATATTTCTACTGACTCAAGACTTTTTTTTATATTTATTTTTTAGTTGTAGTTGAACTAAATACCTTTATTTTATTTATTTTTATGTGGTGCTGAGGATCAAACCCAGGGCCTGGCACATGCTAGGCAAGCTGAGCCATAACCCCAGCTGCCACAGTCTGGCTGGGCACAATTCATGAGCCACTTATCAAGCAGAAATGAACTTTATTTTTAGAACACATGCCACACCACACGAGCTCTTCAGGAATTCCCTCAGAGCCCAACTGCTACCACCAGCTTCCCACAAGCCTCTTGAGACCGATTGGCTGGGTCACATGGGCGGAGCCAAAAAAGTCCCCCAATGAGCAGCTGCGTGGTCTGAAAGGGCGGGGAAACAGCCCAATGAGCATCAACGCAGAGGAGCCAATCAGCTGGCAGCTAGAAGTTTGCTGGGGCCCCTTCAGCTGTGGCTCTCAACACCCAACCCAGTATTTTCACCATTTATTTTCCAGTTGTTCCTTTCATTTTCTCCTTTGTGAATGAAGCAAACTTGGCTGAATAGGATTGACTTTGCCTATTTTCTTTGTTCTATCTGCTTGGTCATCAGTGGTCAATTGCTTTGCCAGAGTTCCAAACTTACACATTGTGCTTCTGCCAATATAGATGGGCAGCCTTGAAAAAAAATAATATATACCTTTCAACTTCACATCAAATCTGAACAACTTTACTGGTATTATCCAACACATATGGTTGCTGTCTCAACCTATATTTATCAATGATGTAGCATTGAAGTGATTAGGAATAAAAGCAAATAATTTGGTCATGGATACCAGCATGTTAAATAAACTGCTTTGGTTATCTAATGCAGAACACAAATCTTATAAAATTTAGACCACTCATTTAAGAGACCAAAATTAAGATACAGCTTTCATTAGTATATTAAGTGCCTTAAGTGTCCCAGGCAGAGAATAAGATGTGAATGCCAAGAAAATGTGTTTATATTTTAACTGTTAAATAATTTATAATTTATTGCTAATTATAAGTCAGCACACTCAACTAAAGCCTTCCTGTTCTAGTCTTAACTTCATTTCCCCTTGTTTATTAATCACATTGCCATCTGGGAACTTGATTCATTCATTTAGCAAACATTTATTGAGCACCTGTTATATGTTGATCTTATGCAAGGGATACAAAGATGATTAAGACACTCCTTGCCTTTATAGAGCTGACAGCCTAGAGGAAACAGGTTAGTTTTTAAGGAAGAAAATGTGATCAAAGGCACTACAGAGAAAAATCAAGACTTTTATTATTAATGGTTTCCCCTGAAAGAACCAGTCAAATTTTTAGATCAATGGTTCCTGCTAAGTACAGAATATTGAAATTAGTAGTTAATGGTAAAATAACTTTTGTTGGTTTAGAATGTTAAAATTAGGCTATTTTGATAAAGTAAATCATATGAAGATTGGTACCTGATTCACCCAGCCTGAAATTATCATAGGCTGTTTGAATTGGAGAAGTGTTTCTCAAACTCATGTACATCAGAATCACTTGGAGGGCTTATTAACAAGTTGCTGGGCCCCACTCCCAGAGCTTCAAATTCAGTAGGTTTTGAGATGCCTTTAACAATTTCCCAAGTGATTCTGATGCTGGTGGTCCAGAGACTGTGCTCTGAGAACCAATGAGTCAGCAGCCAAACCCTTATAATGGTTGTTATGCATGGAATGTGCACCTGACTAAAGTCTATAGCCTTTCAATAAATCACCAAGGATACTCTGCATTAACTTCAAAGTCAATACAAACAGGGCCTGACTCTGTACCTGGTTTCCACTTATGCATATGTGGGAAGCTTCAGTAAATATCACAACCTTAACAGGCAGGTTTAGACATGTGAATTTAAGCCTCAATTACAAGGGAATCTATTTGTTACTATATAATTTTCTAATTTGAAATCATGACAGGCAGGCAGGCTTAGAATAAAGTTATAATTAGAAACTCTTTATCCAAGTTACCATTTAAGAGAATTCTTATTCAGAAATCTTACGTTCTGCCCACTTTCTTCAACAAACTTGGTGTCCTCTAATGAGCTACTAGTGTGAGACATATTTCATAACAACACTGACTTGCCAAGGAGACTCCGCTGCTACCCTGGACAAGCTTATGTGTCCCCTCTCCCTTTCTACTAAAAGAACAACTCAGGTTATAAGCTGAGGACATGGTGCTGGGGAAGTAGAGGCTAAGATCTAAAGTGGTTGCCAGGATAAGTTCTCTCTGTATTCTATCACCAGCAGAAGTATATAAGTTCAAATGATAAAACTTAGGCTTGAAGGCATGTCAGCTTCCAAAAGCAGTCAGTATATCGTTCCTTGCATAAATATAAGTGAAAGGCCAAGGCAGACTTGACATATCTACCTGCCAGCTCCAAGAATCATCTCCCTGACTTCTTCTGAGTCATAAGATTCTCTCAAAAGAAAAATTCTGCTATTCTGAAGAAAATTGTTCTTCATCCTAGTCCTGAATCAGCAATAAGAATAGTTTCTTCATATGGAGTCCCAGAATCTGGGACTTCTAGAATCAACTGAAATTTCCTATAATCTCCTATTTGTTGTTTCTCTTCCAGTACTGTGCCATTGATTCTTGCATAAAATTCTGAAATGCTGGCTCTTCGTGACTTTCCTCTGTAACTGTAAGGGAAAAAGAAGGATGATTCTTTTAAAACTCTGAGTAGATTAGTGGATCAGAGCTCCTGTCATCTACCCATTAAAAACAATACTTCATTTCTAAGAAACTAAGGTGCTCGCTTCTCACAATAAGAAAATGTCTCCCAGAAGCATTCTCTACTTACCATGTTGTCAAAATGTATAGCTTCAGTATAAGGAGGGAGGGGAAAAGAGCTCCCTTATATATTAGTGGCTAAATGAAGTCTCACTTCATAGGTATTTCATGTCCACATAACACTATTTGTAAAATGGTGTTTTGTTTTGTTTGGTTGGTTGGTTTTGTTTTTCTTTTTGATACTAAGGATTGAATCCACTTTGCCACTGAGCTACACCTGCAATCCTTTTTATTTTTTATTTTTGAGAGAGGGTTAAGTTGCTGAGGATCTCACTGAATTGCTGAGGCTAACGTCAAACTTGGGATCCTTCTGCTTCAGCCTCCTGAATTGTTGAGATTACCAATGTTCACTACCACACCTAGTGGCAAAATATTTATAGCAGCTGCACCTCATAACAGCTCCAGTTGGCCCAAATGGATAAACAAATCGTAGTAAATTCAAATAATGGAATATTTCTCAGCAAAATAAATAAATAAATAAACAAACATAGCCGGATGCAGTGGCACATGCCTATAATCCCAGCAGCGCAGGAGGACTGAGAGTTCAAAGCTCAGCAACTTGGTGAGACACTCAGCAAATCAGTGAACTCTATGTCAAAATAACATACAAAATAGGGCTGGGGATGAGGCTCAATGGTTAAGCATCCCTAGGTTCAATTCCTGGTATCAAAAAAATATATAAAATAAAGAACATACTGCTGTACTGATATATGCAGCATTATGAAAAGATCACAAATTTATTATGCTAAGTGGAAAAAATTTATTGCAAAAGACTGACTATTGTGATTCCATTTATGTAATGTTCTGGAAAAGAAAATTATAGGAACAGAAATTAGCCAGTGGTTGCCAGGAACTAGGTATTTGGGAAGGAGACCAAATATAAGGGGCCATGAGAAGACTTTTGGGAGAGAGAAAAGTGCTCTGTATCTTAATTATCATAGTAATGACAAATGTTTGCTAAAACTCATCAAACTGTATACTTAAAGGGATTAGTTTTACTGGTTGTAAGTTCCATCTCAATAAATCTGATTTATTAAAGCAGTGTTCATGTTAGCTCCCAGTTTGAGAGTAAAAAGGTTTGCTCTTTGTCGGAGCTAGGACCTACATCCTGGAGCTGTTTAACAAATTATATCCTGCTAACAATCCTAAAAACTATACCAAGTGGAACTGGCTTCCAGACCCATTCTGTGCTCACTGTTAAGAGTACTTTTGACTGTTCAGGTCTCTGCTAAGACTTTCTTATGTATTCTTAAAACGTGGGGCTGGGTATATAGTACAGTAGGTGCTTAGAACGTACAAAGTCCTGGTTTCCACCACAAACAAAAGAAACTAATAGCAACCAAAAGGAATCCTGAATTTGTTTATTTTTAAAATATTTATTTTTTTAGTTTTAGGTAGACACAATACCTTTTTTAAAAATATTTTTTTTTTAGTTGTAGATGGACATAATACCTTTATTTTATTTTTATGTGGTACTGAGGATTGAACCCAGTGCCTTCCACCTGCAAGGCAAGCACTCTACCAGTGAGCTACAACCCCAGCCCTCTTTATTTTAATTTTATGTGGTGCTAAGGAAAGAACACAGTGCCTCATGCATGCTAGGTGAACACTGTACCACTGAGCCACAATCCTAGCCAAAATCCTGAATTCTTCAAACTGAATTAGGACATAAGGATAAGAAGACACAACATAAATAAAAGGCATGAAGTCAGCTCTATCTTAGCCATTCAGTAGGAATAGCTAAAATTTCCTACACTTAATATAGGAAACTTTGCTAGTACTGCATCCGTTACTGTCTCCTCTTTCCCTCTTTACTAGCAACCTCTCTTTAACAATGAGAAACTCCTGAGCAAACAATGCAGCTATTTTTCATGAGCCACCTCAGCCACTTCTTACCTCTGTGGTCAATGTCATCAGTATCACTGTCAGCTTCCTCATCCTCTTCATCCAAGGTTCCTCGAGTCAGGATTAAATCAGAGGGGTCCAAAACAGGAGATCCGCTCTCTAGAGTGAAAACACCTACTGATAAGTATATGTCTCTTCAAAAAGGTGATTGTTGGGGCTGGAGTTGTGGCTCAGTAGTAGAGCGCTCACCTAGCATGTGTGAGGTCCTGGGTTCGATCCTCAGTACCACGTAAAAATAAAAATTAATATATTAAATAATAATAATAATAAAAAAATTTTAAAAAAAGAAAGGTGATTCTGAATCAGTAACACACACACACACACACACACATATATAATTTTATTTTTTTTTTTTTGGTACCAGGGATTGAATCCAGGGGCACTTAACCACTAAGCCACATCTCCAGCCCTTTAAATATTTTATTTGGAGACAGGGTCTTTCTGAGTTACTTAGGGCCTCACTAAGTTGCTGAGGCTGGCTTTGAACTCACCTTCTGAGCTACTGGGATTACAGGCATGCACCACCATGCCCAGTCAGTAACTGATTATAATGATAAGATCAAAGTGTTCATGATAAACATAAATGCAGGATTATGCTCCTCCTAAATGTACTGTTAACCACACTCAACATTTCTATAGTAGTTTAATTCACCAAGTACTTTCATGAGTGCAAGGAGTTCCATTTTTTTTAGTTCAAGAAAACCCAAGACACTTTTCTTAGGAGCAGCAGTGTTTTTTATCACTAGCTCACAGCTTGGATGAGGGTAATGATTTTTCCTATGAAGGCTAAAGACATGTGAGCAGATCCAGTGCTGATAACTCAAGGTGAAAGTATGGAGTGCTAAGGAAGTCTCCTGGTGGAATATAAGTTCAGAGAGGGTCTGAAGAAAATACAGAGCAGAATGATACAGAGAAGAGAAGCTAGCTATTATTCAAGAAAGGCAGGGAAAATAAACAATGGAAAATCAAATATACTGATAGAGGTAAACTTTCCTACTCAGAGAAACTAGTAAGGGCTGAGCCCCAATAATCAGAAGAAAATCTAGTTAATTAAGTATGTTGACAGGGATTCAGCCTGTGGGGTGAATCATTCTCTCTTCAGGAGCCTATGAGGCTTTTAAGAGCTCAACTAGGGAATAAGGGTGGCTGAAGACGGCAATATTGAGGGACACAAATCTCAAGGGGCCTATGGTCCTGAAAAGAAGATAAGATGGGCTGACAAAAAATGCTCATTTTGGGGTTGGGGATGTGGTTCAGTGGCAGAGTGCTTGCCTATCATGTGTGAGGCACTGGGTTCCATTCTCAGCACCCATAAAAATAAATAAATAAAATAAAGGTCCATCAACATCTAAAACATTTTTTAAAAAATTGCTCATTTTGTGCCCAACTGAGAGTTATCCAATTATACTGTGACTTTCCTCAAATGACCCACTGAAACTCTCTTAATCTTGAACAGCTTAGCTGAATACAGCAGATCCTATGTAGCCACAAATGTATCATTTGCCATTTCATGTACTCAGGAGTGATTCTGAAGACCCCTAACACACAGAAATTCGTGATTCTGAGGTGTTTGCAAAGGATGGCACAGGTGAGTTCATGTTAACTGGTAAGCCCAATTTCCAGCTTTGATTTTTTTTCTACCAGACATCAACCAATACTTTCACAAACAGAAACTGCACTGCTTTAACAAATATATACCAGAGGGGGGAAAAATGCCAGTATTGCTGGTGCAAAGAAAAAATAAAAGTACATCCAACTTATTACCGAAATAAATGTTAAATAGAGCATAATGTTTAAAAAAAAAAAAAAAAAAACCCAAGTTGATCCTACTGAGCTTCAACACATTGTACCACACTCAGAGGGTGCCTGGTCCAGCAGTTTTTGTTGGTAGGTGGCTGAGCACCAACCTAGAAACTCCCAAAGAGTCAATGATAAAACTAAAATTAACTCAAACAGCAAAAAACCCAATAAAAGTAGCAGGACAAAAAGACCAATATTCAGAAATCAAAAGCCTTCTTATATACAAACATACACCATATAGAGGACAAAATGGTTCAGAAAATCCTATTTTCAATGCAACAAAGAAGACAAAACCTTTGAAATGAATTTAACAAGAAATATCCAACATATACTTGAGAAAACCACTAAAACATTCTTAAAAGACACAAATAGATCTGTCAAATATGAAAACATTTCTTGTTCTTAGGTGGTCTAGTCTCAAGATCACATAAATGTAAGTTCTTGCTGAAATAATGAATATAATACAATACTAATACAAAAAAAAACTTTTTTAGGGAGCTAGGCAAGTTTCCATAAGCTAAAGTTCCTACGGAAAAATAAATAAATAAATAATAAATAGCTAGGGAAATACATGGGGAACTTGCTACATAGTTAAAACAATATGGTAGAGGTATATAAGTAAATAAACTATTGGAAAAAATATAGAGTTCAGAAACAGCCAAGAGCACATTGCACTTCAGCATATTATACAAGTAGCATCTCAAATCACAGGCCAAAAAAAAAGGTAGATTTTTAAATCAATAGTGCAGATATACCTACTGATGAAAAAACACAGAGGTGTGTGCTTCATACCATCACCAGTAAGAAATCAAATTTAGAAAATGAAACCATCTAAATACTACCATAAACATGGATAAATTTCCTTTAGTGTAGACTAAGTAAAGACTTCCTAACTAGGACTTAATCCAGAAACAATAAAGAAAAATCTGACTCCATCAAATCAAAACAAAAACTGTTGCATAATAAAATAATACCATGAAAAAAATTATTACATGATAAAATAATACCATAAAAAAAGTCAAAAGATAATTGTTAAAGAGAGTCAAAGTACTTGCAACATGTCACAGATGACAGTAATATTAAAACTAATCCTTGTATGTGTGAGGCACTGGGTTCGATTGTCAGCACCATATATCAATAAATAAAATAAAGGTCCATTGACATCTAAAAAATATTTTAATATTTAAAAAATATTAAAAAAAGAAAAAAAACAACTAATGGGTGAACATTTGAAAATTAAGAGTACTTACATAGTCTCAAAGCATTATTACAAAGGAAAAAAATAATTGGGCTGGGGATGTGGCTCAAGTGATAGAGCACTTGCCTGGCATGCGCCAGGCTCTGGGTTCGATCTTCAGCACTACATAAAAATAAAGATTTGTGACCACCGAAAACTAAAAATGAAAATTAAAAAAAATTCTCTCTCTTTAAAAAAAAAAAAAGATGTTGTGTCCACCGAAAACTAAAAAAAAATTCTCTCTCTCTTTAAAAAAAAAAAAAAAAAAGGAAAAAATAATAGCTTAGTGATGAGAAAACCTGGTAGACTCTACTTCCTACAATAGCAGGTGACTCCTCACATGATATATTAAAAAGCACAACTTCCATGGATTGAAAATGAGCAAACTATATGCATTTATGATTATGTAAAAATAAAACTAATTATTAAGTATAATTATAATGCACTAATAAAAACATTTAAAACCCCACAACTTCACTACTATAAGGTTCTGCCATTAATTAACCATCTTAATCATATCATTAAGAAATACCAGATAAACCCAAATTGAAGGACATTCTATAAGACAACAGTCCTATATACTTAAATACTATCACTATCAGGGCTGAGAATGTAGCTCAGCCATAGAGTGCTTGCCTAGTGTGGATCAGGCCCTATATTTGATACTTTATGTTGGAAAAAAAAAGTCAATGTCATGAAATACAAGAAAGAATAGGGAACTGTTCTAGATTAAAGAAGATTAAGGCACATGAGAATTAACTGCAATGCACATATAGGATTTTCTCCTGCTTGAAAGAGAAAATGGCATCATCTAAATAAGGTCTATATATGAAATAATAGTATTGTGTCAATATTAATCTCCTAATTTTTTTTTACTGTGCTGATGTTATATGAAATAGTACCCTTGTTTTTAGGAAATAGATACTATTTAAAGTAAGAGCATCACGTCTTTAAGAGTAAGTTAAATGATTCAGGAAAAGGTTTTTATATATATATAATGCTATATGTATACACACAGAGAAAATATAATAAAAAGTTATGTAGTAGAACGTTACATTTTGGGAATCTGATTGAAGAATTAGGGCAATTACTTATTATTCATGCGATTTTTCTATAAATCTAAAATTATATCAAGAAAAACTGGAGGGGCTAGGGCTCAGTGGTAGAGTATTATCTAGCATGTGTGAAGCATTGGGTTCAAATCTCAGCACCACATATAAATAAATAAATAAAGGTCCATCAATAACTAATAAAAATATTTTTTTAAAAAAAGAAGAAAAACTTGAAAAAGAATTGGGAAAAGAGGTTAAAATTGTAGGGGAAAAAAAGTCACAGCAAACATCAGTTATCATGCCAAAGAAAAGCAAAATCAAGAAATAACAACTTCCTAAAGGAGAAACTCTTAAGTGCTATAAGTGGTAGAGATCTAGAATAGCTTCTAATACAATTTTCAGGTATTTGCCTTTCCAAGCCATTTGTAAATAAATAACTATCTCCATACTTCCATCATCCTTTTCACCTTCTCCCTCTCACATAGGCATATTCCTGCAGAATAAAAAAAATTAGTCCACTCTCCTTTTTCCTTTTACTTCTGATACCAAGAGCTCTTCCGATACCTTTGGCAGTCCCTGTGTCCAAGGCTACAGAGCCCATATCTTTCCGAAGGCGGTCCAGTTGTTCTTTCTGCTGTTCACTCTGTGCACTGGCCTATATACATAGGGGAAAATGTCATCACATTAAAAGAGGATCCCTGCTGGAGTGGAAGTTCAATGACAAAGTGTATGCTTAATGTACAAGAAGTTCAATCCCTAGCACCAAAAAATGAAATTAAAAAGGAGCTGTTATAGTCAGCTTTCTTATTGCTGTGACCAAAATACCTGACAAGAACAATTTTTTTTTTCTTTTTTTGACAAGAACAATTTTAAGGAGGAAATGTTTATTTTGAGGTTCACAATTTCAGAGGTCTTAGTCCACAGAAGGCCAACTCCATTCTTTGGGCTCAAGGTGAGGCAGAACTCCAAGGTGGAAGAGTGTGATGTAGGAAAGTTACTTAGGCCATTACAACAAGGAAGCAGAGAGCTCCACTCAACAAGGACAAAATATATATCCCCAAGGTATGCCCTCAGTGACCCACCCTCTCCAGCCACACCCTTCCTGCCTACAGTTAATCCCTATCAGCAAATCAATGCACTGATTATGTTAAAACTTTCCTAACCCAATCATTTCACCTCTAAACTTTCTTGCATTGTCTCACACTTTTTCAGAACACCTAATCTAAACCACAACAGGAGCCAAATTAGATGCCAGACTTCTAAGTGAGGACAGAAAAATCATACAATTCTAGAAGCAAATAGGGATGGCTGACATAGGGACAGAAACACTGAGTAGTGTGAGCCCAGAGGATAGCATAAATTCAGAGTAGGTTATTCTTCAGGCTGGAATAGAGAATTCAGAAATTAAGATACAAAAACATATCCAAAGAACCTCCTAGTAGACCTAGCAAGAAGGACCCCAGGTAGTCTCTTAGGACAGGATATTTGGCCATTTAGAAGTTGTGAGCCACCTTTCTTTTCAAAGGCAAAATTCTACAAGTAGCCTTTAAATTTATGTTGGAGTAGGGATGGAGGTGGGGCATAAGAAGAGCTTATTAGTAGTGCAACAGGAAAAATCTCATTTTAAAAAATTCCAATACAAAGAAAAATAATTAAGGGAACTTTCTGCAAACAAACACAAATTTACCAACTTAAGTATTTAAAGCCTGATGCAGTGGCCTACACCTATAGTCCCAGCTACATGAGAAAATTGCTTGAGCCCAGGAGTTTGAGGCAGGAAGATTGAAAGTTCAAAGCCAGCTGGGCAACATGGTGAAGCCCTGTCTCAAACAAAACCAACATAACCAAAAAAGACTAACAAGGATTAAAAGATACACTGAAATTTTATTAGTCAATTATACCTCAATAAAGTTGAAAAAATAAGTTAAATAAGAGACACAGGATAGCACCACCACCCGCCCCCCGAAAAAAAGTGGCATTGATGTCAGGAGGATTAAAGTTGGTTTTTTTTTTTTTTCTGTGTTTTTTAAAAAGATGCTGCCCAGGCTAGCCTAGACTACTGAGCTTGAGCAATCCTCCTGCCTCAGCCTCCCCAATAGCTGGGACTACAGGTATGTACCAAGGCACTCAGATTCAGTTTTGTTTTTTTTTTTAATGGCCCTAAAATACACCTTTTCTTTTTTCAGTACCAGGGATTAAATCCAGGGGTGCTTAACCACTGAGCCCCATCTCCAGCCCATTTTTTTTAATATTTATTTTTTTTAGTTGTAATTAGACACAATACCTTCATTTTATTTATTCATGTTTATGTGGTGCTAAGGTTTATGTGCTTCACAGATGCTAGGGAGCACTCTACCGCTGAGCCACAATCTCAGCCCCCCATTTTTTTTTTTTTAATTTTTTTAGTTGTAGTTGGACACAATACCTTTATTTTATTTATTTATTTTTATGTAGTGCTGAGGATCAAACCCAGTGCCTCGCACATGCTAGGCTAGTGCTCTCTATCCCTGAGCCACAACCCCAGCCCCCCCATTTTTTATTTTTTGAGACAGGACCTCACTAAGCTGGCTTTGAACTTTCAATTTTCCTGCCTCAGCCTCCCAAGCTTGGGGATTATAGGCATGTGCAACAGCATCTTTTCTTACCAACGATTTCTTCAGACGTTCATATTCAGGACGATACTCCCTGGAAAGAAAAACACTCTAAATTTCTTTGTTTAATAATCCAACCTGCCTGCCCCAACCCCTATAACTTGTATTTTCCTATGACTCTGTCATAAGATCTGACATCACTGAACATCCAATGTACCATGTCTTAAGTCATTGAGTCTATCCCTTGGAATTTAAAGCCAAGGTAACTACCCCAAGCTGAAAACTGAGGAAAGAAATGAACTCCTGACTGCTGGGCTGCAAAGCTTAGCACTGAGAAGATCAGGACTGAGGAGCTTAACATTTATTTGAGATAAATGTGTGAGATGTGTAAAAGACGACAGGCCTGTTTTGTTTGAGAAGTTCAATGCATAACAAAGTGATGTACCTGAATCACAACACGAAAGGTACAGAAAAGAGTCTATCCTGAGGCTTTGGTAACATACACACCCTTGTCTGATGATTGAAATGAAAATACGTCTGAAACTGAAAATGTGGTTATGTGGTTGTCAGTATATTACAATATATGAAGCCAAAGGAGAATGCTAACAAGCAGCCTATCAGGCCACAGCCTTATGTGTACAGGTGCTCTGACCACTCCCTTTCTTTCAGGTAAATGAAATTCAACTATTAACAATGACAATAATTATAACAACCATTTATTAGGAAATGTGCTTAGTATGTGTCAAAAATTGTGCTAAGGATTTACACATATTTTCTCAAATAAATCTCACAGGGACTTTAGTGCCAAACACAGCCCAATGCCTGACTTCATAAATAATGTTTTCTATGAAGACAGCACTGACCATTTATAAACTAGCTCTGGATGCTTTTGTCCTACCATGGCATAAGTGTTTAGTTGCCCACAAAGCCTAAATTATTTATTAACTGACTCTTTACAGAAAAAGACTGGCGACCCCTGCCTCTTAATTAGCCAATACAATGAAGATATTATACCTCTATTTTTCAAAGAGGTTAATGGAGACTTGTTACTTGTTACTTGTTACTTGTATATGGTCAGGTCCAGTACACATAAGCAAGGCAAACATACTGCATACATGATGAAAAGCTTTACCTGGCAAAACTTGCTATCATCAGATTTGTGGGTTACTTAAAAGATGTCGTCATTAGAACCTTCCTTTGTTCTCACCTTTCATATTCTTCTGCAGCACTGGTGATTTGCACAAAGAGTTCATCGAAGCCAGTGCCCACAACAGCAGAGACACCCACCACCTGCCAAAAAGCATCATAAAAACTACTGAGGAAACCACTGTATACTTTTAAATGGTTTTGCCCTATTTCATTCAAATATCATAAAATTGTCATAACAAGGACCAGGACTTATGATTTATTCCCTACCAAACCAAATCAAACCACTGATTGATTGCTTGGGCAATCAACATACTCTGCAATCAACACCCACTTTAGCTTACATAAATCTTATCCTTGCTATACCCTCCAAAGTCTCTCATTTTGATCTGTCCTCACAAGAATCAGGCTAAACTTTCCAAGGCATCTACTACAATATTTTAATTCTATATAAAGTCTTCTATCCTAAACTAGACCCAAAACTTTCTGAAGGTAGGTTCTTATTTATCTTGTAAACCTCCACAGTTTTTTGTGTCTTGTTTTGTTGTGGATCGAACCCAGAGCCTCATGAATCCATATGCTAGGCAAGAATTCTACTAGGGAATAAGTAGAATTACTGATAATTACTTACTACTAAGCTACTTCCCAAGCCTACAACTTCCAGTTTTCAATGAACAATGCTTTAAAAGTTACATTTCAGAAAGTAATGAACTTCTTTTCTAGGCTAGGTTCAAAGACAGTTCTATAGGTTTAGAGATAATCTGAAGAGAATGTCAGTAAGATCCAGAGGTAAAAAATTTACCCTGAGTGAGCTGTAAAACTCATCTAACACCAGGCTCATTGAACGGGTCAGGTTACTGACATATGTAGTTTCTTGATTCAAGGCATCTTGGAAAGCCTCAAAATCCTGCATCCATTCCACTGCAAAGCTGTGATCAATGATGTCAGTCTATACCAGAAAGAAGTCAAATTAGCAACCAGAGATGAAGTTATATACTAGATAATGGCAAAATCATTTCTTCAATCAAGTGGTGACCGCAAGAGCATATCATTCATGCATTTTCTTTCTTTGCCTTCCCCATTTCCTCTTCTAGTAAAACAAGCTGCTACGTTCAATAGATTGGTTGTGTCTCCCTTATTTACACAGCTCTGAGGGGCTACTCTATCCCAAAATCACTCTGGATAAGAGCCAATATCATAAACATTCATTCCATTTGACTGAATCTATTTCCTAGAAATGCCTATGACCCAGTTTCAGTGAAACCTGAATCTGTCCTCCAAGACCTAAATAATCCTTCTTTCACCCATCTAAACCTAAAATCCACAAGGTTCTAATGAAAGACATGTTGAAATCAAAATATGGAAGATTCACTTACTTTGTTCATAACCACAATGAAAGGCAGCTTGGTTTTGTACAAGATGCTGAAAATCAAACATTGAGACAGAATGAATTAAAGCACGTAAATTCTTGCTTGCCTGGTGTCAGTCTGTTGGGACTACGTAAAGAGAAAGAAAATGGATGCAGACGTAAAAACAAGGCATTCACATAGTCTCTTGCAGAGGTAAACAACCAGCAATGTCAACAACACACATACACGCACGAACGAAGGCACTCACTCTCAGAGTAGTAATGCATTGTTGTTGATCCTGGTTTTAATTGTTTACCAGATAATTGTCTTTTTTGTTTCCAGGGGAGCAAATGTGCATTTATTAATAGCTTATTATGGTCCAGGCCCTATGCTTACTTTTACATGTATTGTCTCCTTTAATTCCAATGCCATGAAATATATATAATTTTTAATTGTTATTCATATCTCAAAGCTGAGGGAGAAACTTAAAAATATTGTATTACACATTAAAAATTTTTAAATATTTTTACCAGTTTTATTGAGGCATAACTGACAATTAAAATTATATATATTTAAGGTGTACAAATAATAAAATACATGGAAAGAGCAGATCTTTATTATTTATTTACTTGTTTGTTTGCTTATTTTTGTAGTGCTGGGGATTGAACCCAGGGACTTCCCAGTGCTCTACCACTGAGTTACATTCCTAGTCCCTATGCTGTTCTTATCTACATATACATTGTGAACAGATTATCACAATTAGGCTAATCAAATGGTTGTATTTCAAACAATTAGTTTGAAAATGAAATAATGCTATCAATTCTAAGATTTCTAGCATTCAACAAGAATGGACATTTCTACTCAATATCAGATGGACAAATGTTGGTAGATGGCTTCTGTGTAGTTCCAAAATTAATTCTCTAAGTTTTCATAACAGTCTGCCTTGCTCCTCAGCCTTAATGCACTGACATAGTCTAGTGAGCAAATCCTTCCTCTCCTAATGGTACAACATTTGCAGCAAACCTGTGCACTCTGAATTATAGAAAAACCTTTTCATTTATAGTATCTCCTAATGCTACCATTTCCCTGTACCTATTATAAAACACAAGAGCATAATTCAGACCAAAAGGCTCATATCTATTCAGAATTGGATTTCATTCAACTGGGAGCAACTACCACAAAGTTTGGAACAACTACCGTGAGTTTCAGATACAGCACCTATTTCAGAAAAAATTAAGGGAGGAAGAAGGAGCTGAGAGAGAATGCCAATAGCACATGTACCTTTTTTCTTCTCTGACCTGGCCCCTATTCACAGCCACTCAACTGAGCAGAAAAATCTAAATAAGCACAAGTTCAGGAGTAAACAACCAGGACTTAAAAACAAAAAAGCAGAAGGGAAGAGGAGGCCGCGTACTTTCATGGAACACTATGCCCACCAATAATCAGTTACCTGCAGGCATACAGCATATTCGACATAAACGTCACTGGGTTAGTACTTCTCGATGTGTCCATTACATAGATGACAACTGTTGGGAATGAGGATGCCTAAAGCCACAAAATAATTAAAGGCTTGGTCAAAGAGTTCATGACCTATTCCCATATATTTTTTTTCTTATGGCATTACTAGAGCTAGAACCCAGGGGTGCTCTACCACTGAGCTACATCCCCACTTTATTTTTTGAGACAGGGTCCCACTAAGTTGCCCACGCTTGCAATCCTCTCATCTTGTCTTCCTGTCTCATCTTCCCAAGTGGCTGGGAATAGGCATGAGAGCTCTTTCTCTACCTATCTCAGTGAGGGAGAACCATTTTAGCGTTCAGAGCTTCTGCAATTTTCTCAAGTACAATCCCAGGCAATTAAACAGACGCTAAGTCAGTCTAGCCCTCTAGCTATTCTCATCAACAAGACCCATAATACTCACCAGGGCCTCGGTGATGATTGTCCCAGAAGCTGACCAGGTGAATACCTCAATCTGCCCAGGTGTGTCAATCAAGACATATCTACGCCAAGAAAGACCATGAATAAAGTGTTGTACTTGCACATTGCTAAAAGATATTCCGTCACATAAAATAAAAATTAAAAGCCAATGATATCTGGTGATCCAAGACTAGAATAACCTTTGTACACTACGAAGTTTAATTTCCTGCCACAGTCCTCAACTAATAAGGCATACCACACTCCTCCAGACTTTGTTCCATGTCTAATATTCATGCTACATGAACAGGAGCAAAAGACTATGAAGTGCAGCAAAGGATCAGAGGGGAAATTGATAATTACAGAAACACATCACTTAATAATGAGAGACTCAAACCAGAAGGCAAATCTCTTGGGAAACCATCTGGTTGCTTGGGAATGGGAGACTGTTGGGGAGAGAGAGTGAGGATGCAGAAACAGAAATGCACAATATAGGGCATGAGTATGATGAGGGCTGCATAATTCTGTGAGTACTAAAAGTCACTGCATTATACACTTGAAAATGGATGAATTAGGTAATGTGTGAATTGTATTCCAATAAAGCTATTTTTTTGTTTGTTTGTTTGTGGTGCTGAGATTGAACCCAAGGACTTACGCACATGAGACAAGCACTCTACCAACTGAGCTATATCCCCAGCCCTTTGTTTTATTTTGTTGGCATCAGGGATGATTGAACCCAGGGCTGCTTAGCTACTGAGTCATATCCCCAGCCCTATTTACTTGTAACAGGCAGGAATTTATTGAAGGGATAGGAAAAGGGAAAAGGAACACTCTTAAGGGAGTGAGTCCTCTTAGAGAAGAGAGGGGCAGTGTGCCTCTCTTGGATTCCAAGATCTTTTTTATTTTTCTCCTCTTTTAATGACTTCATCTTAAGATAGATTCAGAGCTTGATGGTAGCCCAGATCCTCTCAAAAGCCTCGAAATATGTCAACTAAAGGATAATAAATAGGTGTTCAACTGAAATCACTTACTTAGATGTGTTCTGGGCCTTCTCAATAAATTTCATCACCTAAAAGGAAGACATACCAATTACAACAGGAACTGATTTCAACACAGAATCATATGCCATTCCAGGGTGACACACCTCATAGGAAACATCCCTATTGAATCTGTTCTCATTCTTAGGACACCAACTAATAAACTCACTGAGCCAAAGAAACATAGCCACATCACCAGCACTACAACATTCTGGGCACAACTCAAGGAACCTAAGAGGCTTAATTATAGACATGTCACAGTCAAGTTATACATCGTGGCACTTTGGTCCAAAAAAAACAGTTTTTATTTTAAAGAAAGTTTTGCTGTGTTACCCAGGCTAGCCCCAAACTCTTAGGCTCAAGCAATTCTCCTGCCACAGCTTCCTGAGTATCTGAGACCAACAGTAGGTGGCTCTAGTCAAATGTCAATGGCCTATCTCATAAGAGTAAAAAACCTAATGATTATTAAAAAACTCATCTGTCACAAGTAAAAAGCATCATTATCTGCCATTCCATGCCTGGTAGCCCATTCTACTCCCCAGACCTCATCTCATCTTCAGGGTAATACAACAAGCCAATAAGATCAGGAAAAGAACCCAGGTGTCAGATCTATTTTGCTGGCTGTCACAAATATTAAATGAGAACTGTCTCACAATATGGTCATTCTCTCATAGTCTAATTCTCTGTCTACCAAAACGCTAACTTATTTTCTATTTTCCTGTTCAGGTTTGCTGCTCTGTTCAGGTTTGCTGAAATGTGATCAAGATAAGGCATGTAAGAGTCAGGATTTTTTTTTTATACGGCAATGTCTATAAATGTAAAGACAGACATACCTGATCAAATCTGGTAGCAAAGAGATTGAGAGAGGTCACTATGCCACCGTTGGGCCCAAGGCCATATCTAGACACTCAGTTGAGGATTTCAATTGCACAGATTAGATTATGAAGTTCATAACCAGAGCATTATTTATCTACGCAGCATTATATTAGTGTTCCATTAATTAAAGCTGGCAAAGTAATCCTTGATGATCATATAACCTTTGTCTAACAGGCAAACATTTGTTATCAAGGTTTTCCCATTCATTTATCACTTTAGGGATGGCCAGGAAAGATGAAGAAAGCAAAGTGATCCAAATGTAATAAACATATCCATCAGGCAGTGACAGCCTACTGGCTTTGGCCATTAAAACCAGCTCCATAACACTCCTTGCACTGATCCTCACTAATCAAGCAACTAATCAAGATGATTAGAATTAATCTTCCTACCTAGACTTACTTATAAGGAGAGTGCACATTTCACACAGCAAGGTCCTAAGAATTAATTCCACTAAACATACTCATTTTGAGCCTTCCAGTCTGAAGAGATAGTAATCAATGAATGTATCTCTCCTCCAAGGCAAAACCACCTTGTGGGACCCAAGGAGGTGCCAGCTAGCCCCTCATTTTTCTCTGTTCTAATTACAATAGTCTGTCGTCTTCAGAGATGGAAAGAAAACCGAAATCATAAGATTAAATGTTATTTCTAATCAACTACAATACCTCTCCTTTATTCATCTTCTATCCTCCTAGGGATTAAGAGTATAACTCAATGGTAGAGTGCTTGCCTAGCACATAAAGGTCCTGGGTTTGATTGCAAAAAACAAACAGCAACAACAAAAACCCTAAAAATCATCTTCCTAATAAAATGACTTTATCTGGGTGCAGTAGCATGCCTGTAATCCCAGTGGTTTAGGAGGCTAAGGCAGGAGGATTGCAGATTCAAAACCAGCATCAGCAATTTAATGAGGCCCTTAGCAACTTAGTGAGACCCTGTCTCTAAATAAAATATAAAAAGTGGCTGGGGCTGGGGCTCAGCAGTAGAGCATTCACCTAGCATGTGCAAGGCCCTGGGGTCGATCCTCAGCACTACATAAAAAACTAAAAAAAAAAAAATGAAATAAAATAAAGGTATTGTGCCCAACTACAACTAAAAAATAAATATTAAGGGGGGGGGGGCGCGCTGGGGATGTGGCTCAGTGGTTAAGTGCCCCTGGATTCAAAAAGGAAGGAAGGAAAGAAGGGAGGGAGGGAGGGACGAAGAAAGGAAATAAATGACTTTGAAACAATCAATGCTTTTACTTATATATTTCAACAAGAAAATGTAAAAAAAACTCTCAAAACCATAAAACACATAGCAAGGAGTCAGGAATGGGTCAACACCATAGTAGCCACAGAAAAGGATACTGTTTCATGACTTCTTTATACTTCACAGTGTCACGAATATCTGAATGGGGGGAAGAAAAGAATTAATTGAAACTTAATACAAAAAAAACAGTGAATGTGGTCTCTCAAGTCATTTCTGAAAAAAAAATTTCTCTCTTGGAATCTGTGTAACTTTTCACATATATTTTCTAAGTTTTGAAGATAAAATCATCGAACTGTGATTAGAAAAGAAGACCATAAGAAGATAAAATAAAAGGACAAAAGTTGCCCTATTAGCACCTTCCCTACCAGCAAGAAATTAAAACTAACCTTTTGAGTTTTTCTTCCACATTCTTTTTTTCTAATTTCTCTACTTCTATCCTAGTTTCTTTCCTTACAAAAGACAACTGCCAAGTAACCCATGAAAAACATTACCTAGGAGTTCTCAAGTTATGATAGAGACAGACTTAAACAAGGTGAAAAGTTATACGATTTAAATATCAGTAGTCCTATGCTCAGAAAAAGAGAAGCTAAAGTCAAGAAAAAAACATTTGTAATAATTAATCGTCTCCTGGTGACAAAGACAATACAGACAAGATTTTTAAAAATGAACCCACTAATAACTACCTAAACCTAACCACCAGCCTATAGTTTTCCCCCATCAACTGTTAAAATTCTACCCTTTAAGTGAGAAGATAAGAAATGTTTTCCCCAACTCTTCTCCAAATCATATCTGCTTTTTAATATAAAGTTTTCCTCTATATGTTATGTTTGGGGTCAAGAAGCTTAATAGGATTAAGAAGTGACAGTGATACCTTGGTTGCCTCACTGCTCCCTCACAGGCTGAAGTAAAACATTAGAGAAGCACACCAAGGCAAGCATATAATGCAAGGTTTATTTAAAAAGTGGTAACACAGACTTTTCCCAAGAGGGAGAGGAGGGCCATAGCTGGTATACTGGTATCCCACTTCCCAAGAAGCCAAGCAGTTCTGCCTTTTTTATATGTCCTAGACTTCCTTTGTTCTCCTGCTCTCTTTCCCTTATCTCTGTCTTTCCAGAGTAAGTGACTAGGCCCAAGAGATACTCTAGGTGGGATGACCAAAAGGTGAGAAGCAGATGGAACAGCCCAGGACACATTAATTTACAAATTTATAACTCCCAGTAGGGAAGGGCAATTCCTGGGACAGATTACTTTAGCAACAGGTTGGAGCAGGGGTAGGTTATCTAGATAGGGTGGAGGAAGGGCTCTGAAGGAATTAACATTTCAATTCCTCTGTTCTCAGATCTGACCCTCTCCTACCAGCCTGTCAAATTCTGGCTTCATCAGAAGGGAGAGCGTTAGATTTATCACACAATAATAGCTTAAAAATCAGAACTACTGGATCTTATCAAGAATCATCACAATGGACCACTCACCCATTCTCTTTTTTTCTTTTTCTTTTTCTATTTTTTAGTACTGGGCTTGAATCCAGGGGTGTTCCACACTAAGCTACTTACCCAGCCCTTTTTATTTTTTATTTTGAGAAAGGTTATTGCTAAATTGCCCAAGCTGGCCTCAAATCTGTGATCCTCCTGCATCAGCCTCCTGAGTCACAGAGTTCAAAGGTGTGCACAACCACATCCAACATCTATTCTTAATCTTTTTTATAGTCACAAACTCCTCTTAAAAATCTGATGAATATTGGGAGCCTCTACTCAGAACAATGCAAAGATGCATATATACACACATTTTCCCATGTAACTTTGGGAGTGGAAAAAAGGTCCTACAGATTAGTGAGTGAACAACAGCAAAAGAATTCGTACACTCTGATAAACTTTGAGAAAAGGAACTAAGTGGAAAAGGTCTATGTAAACTAAAGTCAACTGAAAGGTTTATGATATAGATGTTTATTAAACTGAATTTTTTTTTCCAATGGACTGACTTTGTGTCATTTCACTTTCCCAAATTACAATAACCTGGCACACTAGGGTTAGAAAGAAGGGAGGGATAAGGATGAATGGTGAGGACACAAATAAATGTAGGAAAGAGGAAGGAGTAAACAGAGAAAAATGTGAATAAGGAACAAGCCTAGCCCTGAACAGTGGCACAAGCCTGTTGTCCCTGCAACTCAGGAGGCTGAGACGGAGGATCACAAGCTCCAAACAATTTAGCAAAGCCCTGTGCAACTTAGCAAGACCCTGTATCAAAATAAAGAGCTGGGGATATAGTTTAGCAGTAAAATACCTCTGGGTTCAATTCCTAGTATCAAAACAAATTTTTTGTTTGTTTGTTTGTTTAGGGACTCAAGGAAATCAAGTCAAAGGAGAAAGGGGGAAAGG